TTATATGTATGCTATATTTCCTATGTATATATTCCATAAATAAAATTAAATAATTTATTTTTCAAACACAAATACTATGATGGGTTTTTTAAATTTACTTATTTATTTTTTAGTTGTAGATGGACACAAACTTTATTTTATTTGTTTTTATTTTTATGTGGTCCCAGGGATCAAACCCAGTGCCTCATTCATGCTAGAAAGCTCTCTCCCACTGAGCCATAAACCCCGGCCCCTATGATGTTTTTGACATTATAAATGGTGAATGTTTTTCATGTCAGTAATCAAAACATGTAGTTTATAATGTTCTTCAAAAAACTATTATAGCTGGGTGTTGTAGCTCATGCCTATAATCCCAGTGTCTTGGAAGGCTGAGGCAGGAGGATCTGAGTTCAAAGCCAGCCTCAGCAATTTAGCAAGGCCCTAAGCAACTCAGCAAGACACTATCTCTAAATAAAATATAAAAAAATGTTGGGGATGTGGCTCAGTGATTAACTACCTCTGGGATCAATTCCTGGTACCAAAAAAAAACTATTATAGCCAGGCATGGTGGTATGTGCCTATAATCTCAGCCACTCTGGAAGCTGAAGGTTGCAAGTTTGAGGCCAGCCTCAGCAACTTAGCAGGACCCTAAGCAATTTAGTGGAATCTTATCTCAAAAAATAAAATGGGCTGAGGATGTAGCTCAGTGGTAAAGTTCCCCTGACTTTAATCCCTAGTATAAAAAAATCTATAGTTTCTGACTGAAATAGTATGAGCTCATTGTAAATAAATCAGAAAATACAAAAACAGAAAAAAGTGCCCATAAGCCTACCACCCAGGGTTTATTCTAAGCATACATACACACAACATTGGGTTTAATATTTGTACATATATGTTTCAGATATTTTTTGCATTTGACTGGTAGAGCTCAATATTTTTATGTCAGTAATTATGCCCATAAATCATCTTTTTTTTTTTTTGACATACTAGGGATTGAACATAGGAAAACTCTACCACTGAGCTACACTTTTTTAGTTTTTCATTTTGAGGCAAGGTCTCACTAAATTGCCCAGACTGGTCTCAAATTTGCAATCCTCCTGCCTCAGCCTCTCAAGTAGCTGGGATTACAGGCATGCACCATCACACCTATCATGTGTTATCATTTTTAATAGTTGAAGTCTATTCCATTGTGTGGATGAATCATAATTTAACCAATCCTTATAATCATTTTGTTTGGGTTATTTTTTTTTTCCTTTTGACAACACTGTGATGTATCCTTGGACACATTGTTGCATATTTTTCTATTACTCTCTAAGATAAACTCCTAAAAGTATAATTGATAGTTCAAACATATGAAAATTTTTCAGACTTTCCATACATATTTTCAAATTTTTAAAAATTGTTTTCTTGCTGGGCGCAGTGGCACACGCCTATAATCTCAGCAGTTCAGGAGGCTGAGAGAGGAGAATCATGAGTTCAAAGCCAGCCTCAGCAAAAGTGAGGCACTAAACAACTCAGTGAGACCCTATCTCTAAATAAAATACAAAATAGAGCTGGTGATGTGGCTTAGTGGTTGAGTCCCCCTGAGTTCAATCCCTGGTACTCACCCTCCAAAAAAAAAAAAAAAAAAAAAATGTTTTAGCAATGGCACAGACCTGTAATCTCAGCGATTTGGGAAGCTGAGACAGGAGGATCAAGAGTTCAAAGCCAAACTCAGCAACTTAGCAAAGCCCTAAGCAATTTGGTGAGACCCTGTCTCAAAATAAAAATTAAAAAAATGGGGTGAGGGGCTGGGGATGTGGCTCAGTGGTTAAGTGACCCTGGGTTCAATTCTCAGTACCAATAATAATAGTAATAATAAATTTAAAAAATAAAAAAAATGTTTTATCATTTTTAATTTCCTTAGTTAATAGTGAAGGATATTTTTTTCTCCATATTATTAGCCTATGATATTTTTGTAAACTTCCTGTTCATTTCCTAAAATTGATTTGGCCATTTATGTATTAAGAGTATTAATTGCTTTCTAATATTTTGTAAATATTTTTCTCCTAAACTGGGTATGGCAGTATGTGCCTGTAATCCCAGCTGCTCTGGAGGCTTAAGTCAGGAGGATTGCAAGTTTGAGACCAGCCTAGACAACTGAGCAAGGCTGTCTCAAAAATAAATATGAAGGGAAAATAAATAAATAATTTTAAAAGGATTTAAATTAAAAAATGAATAAATAAATAAGAAGGGGTTGGGATATAGCTCGGTGGTAAAGGGCCCCCCTGAGTTCAGTCCCCAGTATTAAAAAAAAAAAAAAAAATTCTTGTAAATCAGTTAGTGTTGAAAATACTGGTTTGAATATGAGTTTATACATTAAATATTTACCATCAATGTGAAATGCTGTAAAGTGGAATTAGAGAGTCTAAAGCTGAAATCACCGTATATCTAGTATGAGACAGTGATCCTACATCATTAAGTTTAAAACGAGATTGTTTCACACTTTGTCAAGTTCCTTAGTAATAGAAATGTTTTAATTCTGTTTTTTATAAGTACCAAGACTAATGCCATTGACTCCTTGAGAATTTATTTCTTCATGTCCAAAACTTGTTTTTTTGTTCCTAGATTTTTTAGTGGTGCTTTATAGTTGTACATCATGATGGGATTTGTTGTTCACATATTCATACATGTACACAATGTAAAAACATAATTGGGCCAATATCACTCCCCAGCACTTCCCCCTACCTCCCACCTCTGATCCCTTTCCTTACTGACCTCCCTTTGATTTTTATGAGATTCCCTCCTCCCACCCCTATCTTTCTTTTTATTTTCCCTCGGTAGCTTCCACATATGAGAAAAAATATAAAACCCTTGACTTTTTGAGTTTGGCTTATTTTGCTTAACATAATGGAGAGATGCGTTTTTATTGATTTAATATCTTCAGCATTCATTCTTAGTAGCCAATTTAATTACTTGAATCTTTGTCTAGAATCCTGGTTTCTTCCTTTTCTGAGGAGCAGCTGAACCGATATGAAATGTATCGCCGGTCAGCTTTCCCTAAGGCGGCCATTAAAAGGGTAAGGATGAACCACCACCCTTCATCTCCACACGTCAAAACTAAACCAGGCTCAATAGCTATGACCCTCAGCATTTTGAAGCAACATATTAAGCAAACTGGTGGATTAATTAGGCAGGAAAATAAAAATAACATACCCTTCAATTATGTGATCAGTTCCAGTTTTGTAAGCCAGGGAGCATAGAGAGCAAGTCATAACATACATGAATCTTTGTCTCAATTTTAGCATGCCACCTTTAGTAAACACTTTTTCAGTACAAAGCTGTTTTTTATTGGTACTGTATTCCAAAGCCAGTCCTTGACTATCTTAATTAGTTTTGTCCTTTTTTTAAGCTGATCCAGTCCATCACTGGCACCTCTGTGTCCCAGAATGTTGTTATTGCTATGTCTGGTATTTCCAAGGTTTTCGTCGGGGAGGTGGTTGAAGAAGGTGAGTAGTGTTGGTTACATGTACGGGACTGTACCTGTGTTAGTCTTATTTTCAAGAACATTTACACTGAGGAACTTACCAAAGTACCCGTGGGAGTTAATTTGCATTGGAAGTTCACTATACTGGAAGCCTTATATTCAGTAGAGCTTGACCACTATTTCTTAAAAGTTCAAATACTAGGGGTCAAGGAATCATCTAGGAAACACCTCTCCCTGATTCCTGCTCTTAACCCAGGGTGACAGAAGCAGATGTTGTATTATTCACATGCAGACCTCGTTTCTGCTGCCAAAAATATACAAAAAGAGCAGTCACCAGAACTGAGCAGTGTAGCGTGGTAAGTTATCCCTGATTTTGTCACCCCTGGGAACTGCTCTTTTCTATCAAGCTAAAAACCTGGCTACTTCCCATTGCTCATCTCTAGCTCATGACATCTTTCTTTAAGCAGGAGATGTTTTAAACGGTTGCCTATGATAAAGCTCAGTATGGGACATTATACTAAAGGAACATGATATACTTGGTCGCATTCTCTTCAGAATGGAAAATGTTAGTAAGCCTAAGAAGGGTTACCAGGAATTAAAGACTCTGGAGGATTATGTGGTGAATGAGTAAGTTCTCATGTGATAATGAAGCTTTCCCCTTTCCCTTTTTAGCGCTGGATGTGTGTGAGAAGTGGGGAGAAATGCCACCACTACAACCCAAACACATGAGGGAGGCAGTTCGGAGGTTAAAGTCAAAGGGGCAAATCCCCAACTCGAAGCACAAAAAAATTATCTTCTTCTAGACCAAAGCCTGGAAAAGCCAATTATGGACAGGAGTACTGGTTCCAGACTTCCTGTTATGTGAGACTCTCAGCCCTGGTGCTTTGGTATCTGTCCTCCAAGGAATCCATGATGATTTTAATGTCTTTCTCCCATCTTGTTTCTGTCACACCTAGAAGGCATGTGGCCTGCTTCATACTTGCCTTGACTAAATTTTGGAACCTCTTACAGCATTTTGAGGTATTTAACTGTCTCTTGGCTAGTTGGAAGAGAAGTGTATGAGCCTTCTGCATCTTCTGGAAAGGGGAGCTGCTTTCAGAGAGAGAAAACCTTTCCAAGAGAACTTTGATGGTTTCACATTGAAGCCTAAATTTGCTGAGACTTGGCTTATGTCTGGTTTTAAGTAGATGAAACAACCGAAACTTTTGACTTACAATTCTCTACTGTGAAGGACACAGTGATTACAGGAGTAGTGGAATAATTTGTGCTTGTTAATATTTAAGATTCTCCTGTGGATTTTGGTGAGTGATCATTAAATTTTTTCAACTTGCTGTATGTGTATTCATTTTGTATCTAGTTGATTGGAATGGGAATAAATTCATCACTTTTGGTTTTTTTTGGTGTCCAAATAAAACTGGTCTTGACTTTTTTGTGAGCCCTTCCCATTTTCTATTAGAACCAGTATAATTTTTAAATCATGCAAGAGTACTTCAAACACTGTTAAAAAAAAAACATGTAAGAAAACCCATGTGAATCAGACTCCTATAAACAGGTATGCCACAAACAATATCGTTTAATAAGTTTAATATGCTTTTTTTTTTCCAGATGGTTCACAGAACCAGTACACTCAGGGTTTGATTAGATGTTGCAACATTAAAATTTCCCAATACTGACCAGGATTCCAGTTTGTTGCATACATTCTCATTGTTTTCCTCAAACAGAGGGGAATGGAGCGAGTGACCTTTCCTTGACAGTGATTAGCAGTAATAAGGCCACTGTATGTACTTGGCAATCCCCCAGAATTCTTTACATCTACCGTTCAGTGTCATAGGGAGAAGGATTTTGAGGCTGTTGTCTTTCAAAGCTTTCCTGAGCATGACTTTAAGATTCCAATTCTGTTTAGCACCCTGAGTGGGGGAAACAGCTTGAACTTATGAACTGGGACACATCTGACTTTTAGTATCTTACATTAAAAACTCACGGCTTTAAGCACATACTTAGCCAGTGAAGACATTTCTTCACAAAGAAATGCTACAAGTCAGGCTAAATCTTGACTAAAAATGAATAAACTGAGTAAAAAGACGTCTTTCCACTCTAACAGGAAATTTTTTTTAAACAGTTATAGGAACTTTACCTATCACCATTAGAGATATTGGATAAGCTGAAACGATAAATAACAAGTAAGGAAAATCAAAGTCCGGCCACTTAGCAAGGCCTCACTATTGCAGGTTGTCCGAGTGTTTCCCCTAGTGCCACAGGAAACAAAATACTTTCCATAATATCTACTGTGCTATCCTACCAGAAATGAATGGAATATTCCGGTTCTGGCTGGGGGAACAATGAGGCAAAAGGCCCTAGTCTCTGAAAGGATGGTACATCACACCCGAGTCTCTGAAACAGTTAATGGGGGGAAAATCCCTAGTGTAAAGGTTTGAAATGGAAAGTTCCCATCTGGCAATACTTCAAACTATCTTCTACCACTCTGTTTCCCCCTAAGGAAGAATTAGTGTGCATTAGTTAAGTGGAAGCATTTAAGTTATGGGGTATGTTGGGGGAGGGTTATCCCTAGTATATTCCACATAGATACCATGCTTTCAGAACCATGGAAAAGGAGACACAAAGGTTGAGGCCATGGCAAAATGAAGGTCAAATGAAATATACAGCAAAAAGCAGCCATCACGTGAATAGAACCACTCCTGTCTTAAAATCAAAATCTAAGTTAATTATTCCAGTGAGTTGAAAACAATTTGAGATTGCCAATCGTCCCTGCAGCCCAGTGAAGAGGATTTACACTCTAGTCTGTGTGCCCTAAAGCTTATCCCCAGTTCCTGCATGTAAACAAGAAATCTTGATGATCACAGATAATATAGTTGTTCCACAGCTGAAATGATGATGTGCAGTAGCCAAAGCCTCTGAGGGATGGTGGTGCTATCCTCCCGACATTTTCTTGAGGTACTATTATTTCTGGTTCAGTCTTGCAGTTCCAAAGCAGAAAGCATAATCAGTTCAAAAGGGCTGACACTACTTTTTCCTTGTTATTTTCTTTTGAACTTATTCTGAAGATTACCACTAGGTCATACTTCATTATGAAAAGGTTATCATCACCCAATGAATAAGAGTATAAAGTTACACAAGATAATTTTTACTAAAATTCCAATGAATAATGAATCCTACCACATTTTCTTGAGGGGTAATTTCAAGACAATGGCCCAAGCTGCCACATAAGTCAGAAATTCTAAGACTCCATTTATCACATGGACAAGAATTCCAGACTCCTTCAGAGAACCCAGAAAACACACAGCTCTGGCCATTAAGAGGTCAGCCTTGGTACTTGCTGGATGTGTTTCTACTTTAAGCTTAAGGCAAAGGTATACCAAGCAATGCCTACTAGACACATCTTTGCATGGAGGGATGCCAGAGGAATATGGAGGGCAAGGCAGGAAGCAGAGAAAGAGAATCAGAATGTGATTTTAAATGACTTCAGGGGAGCCTGAGGTTGAATAATTCTATTTTCTGGCTACTGAATCTCATCCCTCTAGTTTCCTCCAAGAACATCAGAAATGCACACTTGAGAGGACTAGTGATCTACTCAGCTCAACGTCCTGCCCTTGAAAAAAGCACTACAGGGACTTTGAGGAGGGATGTCACCTCTCAGTTGTTGATCACAGAACAGCCCCAGTTTCACATCATTCCCTTTGGGGGACAATCGTACAGGGATTCCTTTTAAGCCTTCTGCATTCACACTTAGATTCTGCAGGTGACCCTTCTTAAAACAATCAGGTTTCCCAATTCTTTTAACCAAGGTGATGAGGCAGAGCCTTAAAGCTAGAATTTCAGGACTGGATCCTTGCTCCCGCCTGGATATGTGAGCAAACACTCTGTTTTCATTCTTGTTGAACACAGTCCACATCTTAAAAGATGTGTCATGCAGAATATTTTTGCTATTCTCTGGACCTTTCCTCCCTTCACCGTATCCTTGATAAATAAGGTCTCTAGAGATACACAGATCATTTAAGATGTACCCACACTCTGCATGAGGTACAGTGGTGTTTGCACCCCTTCCTGGTCATGCTGAGGAGCTAGGCTCGGGCCACTGTAGCACATCGATCCCCGGCTCAGCAGTGCTTTGCTGGCGTTCCTGAGCTCACCGCCCCATCAACTGAACATTCTTCAGAAACCCATTCCCTCACACTGACTGTGCCAAACCTCACTTGACACTTTTTTGAGTATTCACAGCCCTGCTAGTTGTGATCTGTCCATGACTTTGTGAGGGTTTGTTGTCGTCTGTCTCCATTTCTTCTGGTCTACCTTTTATTGTATGGAAGCGGCAACATTTTATTGCATTGTCAAGACCTACATTTAGGTCGTTTATAAGAATCTTAACACTGAACCAATCACTGACCCTTAGGAAACTTCCCCTGCTAACATTCTCTCCAGAAAAATGTTTCTTTAGTCCCAAGTCTTTAATTTCTGTCCCAAGAATGACAAATTCCCACAATCTGATAGTAACTGATATTTTAAAATTTGCCTTAGTGGAGAAATTTAACTAAAGTCCTTAAAAGTCTCAACAAATTAGATCTTGTTCCCATGTTTCTTTTTATCCTCAAAAAACCAGAGTATATAAATCAAGCATGATTTCCTATAAAAGAAACCATTTACTTCTCTTCCAATAGGTTATGTTCAATTAAGAATTCAGTGATATCACTACTTCACTATTTTACCATCTTGTTAAATCAAGGTGAGTTAGCTGATACTTCTGTCAAATTGACACAGCCTGAACCATACCACAGAGGTATGGATGAAGGCAGAGTTTTGAAGAATTAGGAAAGGGAAATCCAGATATATCGAGGGGGGTTTTTGCTGCTGCTGCTGCTGCTGTTGTTTTTTACTTACATCAAAATTACATGATTTTTAAAAGCCATAGTAATAGAGGGGAGTGAGAGGCAACAGGTTGAGATGTTTATGTTAATTAAGATTTAAACACATTTTCAGTTCCCAAATGACCAAGTGCTCAGGTGAGCAAAATCAGGATGCTGGGAAAGAAGATGACCATGAACCTCAGGAAGACAGAGGAGTTGACTTCTCAGGTGCAACTGCAGAAGAGGGGCAGGAGCCTGGAGGGCTCAGGAGCCTAGAGGGCTCCCATATTTACCGTACCTCATCTTGCCCTCACCCTAGCTCAGAGTGAACATTTTTTTCTTGATTTAAATTTCAAATAAATTATGTTACAGAAAGGAAAGATGATATGGCTTAGTCACAACTGCTGTTTACTTTCTTCCACAGCATCACAATGATGAAATTACAACAAAAGGAAGCTTGACCCTGAAAAATCTGATTGTAACATCTGCCAAGTTGATCTGAGCCTGATTCCCATTCCAAAGCAGGCAGAGTCCGGGTCTCCCTTATTCTTGTGCCTCTCTACCCACCCTCCCCTTGCTGAGCTATTTCCTGTTCTCTTCCACTATAAAGTTCTGGTCAACAACTTTTCAGGTCTGCTGCAGGAAGCTCTGGGACACGAGATCTTTGGTGGGTCTGTGGGTGGCTGAGGAAATGGGTACTTTCAATTGTTCACACAGGCTGTGAAGGAAGCAAAAATCTCCACCATGAAACCAAGAAATGAAATGGCCCTACCGTGTGGAGAAGATTCCACCTAGTGTGCAGAAGGCCAAAAGGCTTTAGCTTTATACAGGCAACAAATGATGCTTGAGCCACGTACAAAGCGACCCCAGTTTCCTGGGATGCAGTCAAGCTTTGCCCTATCCTCTATCCAAGCTAGAAAAGCTAGCGGAAAGTGCACCCAGGAGGCGTGCACAGAGCACACCCGGTCCCTCTTGCATCCTCAGCGGATCATTCCAGTGCTGGAAGACGCCCTCTGTCCCAGGTGGTGCTACTGCTGGTGATCTCTTCTCTCCTTGGCACAGACGGCTCAGCCTCTGCTATCAGAGCTCAAAGAGGGGGTTATATTTCCTAATCTCCTGAAGAAGTTTCTCTTTATCCTGGTTAGCACTGGCCAATGCTTGTTTAGTTTCTATAAGTTCTTTTTGTAGGGTAGGCAGTTCATTCACCTGAGGAATAATAAGCAGTTCACAGTTAATGAATATGGTAATATCACCTTGCAATAATAGCCAGTAAAGACAGCAGGAAGGAAGAATTCAAGCAGAAAAATCCACAGGCCAAGTCACTGATCAAGAGACCTCAGCCAGATCTCCTCCAAGAACCTAACTCCCTTTTCAGCGTCCATCAGTTCAGGGACAGCAACCACTCGCCTCCAGCTCCTGGCTTACGTCCTCTGGCCAGCAATTCCAGAAGCTGCTGCTAGGGGACAGGAGAACGAACCACCCAGGTGCTCACAACATAAGCAAGCTTTTCAGCCCTCTGGCTTTTCTTAACTTTCACAAGTACAGCCCCTACTTGTTTATGGGAAGGTTCTGTCCAGTTGGGTCCTTACCTGTTGTCTAAAAACCTCTCCTGTGGGCACCAGAAATAGCTGTTCTTTGAGGGGCTGCTTCTTCTCACTTTTAGGTACTTCAGCTGATGGTCTGTCCTGAGCAGCAGCTGGAGAAAAAAGTAAAGGTTCTAAGTGAAAACACTACTGCCAATGACCACAGTTCCTGACTGTCATCTATTCACTTATGGGGGGAAATAAGGCAGAGAGGTCAAAAGGCTGATGAGCCCAACTCACCACCAATGTGGAACACGCCATCATCACTCCTCTTCAGCACAACATGCTCCATGGCCACAGTGATGGGGACAGGGCCTGGGGAAGTTGGATAGATGGGGGGGATATCATCCTGCAGGAAAGAGAGGACCACATGATGCCCCCAGATAGCTCAGAGCAAGTGAGGTAACACAACTCATGCTTCTACCATTCAGTCTAAAGCAACTTCATGCCACTGGTTCTCCATATATTCTTGCAAGGTATGAGAGAAATAACTGAGTCCCATTCTGGAGATCACAAAACTGAGGATCAGATAACCTGAAAGCTTATGCCTGGTTCTGTTTTATGCCGAAGACAGGGTTAGAGTTAGAGACAGTGTTTCTCTCCCTACCTGAACCCAGGCCCATGTGTGTGTGTGTGTGTGTGTGTGTGTGTGTGTGTGTTGGAATCCAAGACCTCACACATAATCAGACAAGCATTCTACCACTGAGCTACATCCCCAGCCCAACCCAGGCCCTTTTACTTCAATATATATATTACTAAAACACTGACAGAAAACGTTAATATGCATTTCCTCACCTGAACCTCACTACATTTTACAGGGTCAAGGGAAAATGATAACAACTGTCATTACCAGAATTTCTTGCCTGACAAAGTTTAAGGCAAACACCCAAGTCCTCTCACCTTTAGTGTGATACTGGAGTTCAGGAGCTCAATCTGCATAGGGAACACCACTGGGACTTCCTCATCCTCCAAAAAGGGCCCCAGGCCATTGAGCACCGAAGTGAGCAGCTCAAGATCACAGCCTCGAAGTAAGAAGTGCAGGAAGCCATTTTGTGCAGCCAGTGGGGAATGAACAGCTGCACGAGGCCCCACCTCAAAGCGAAGGCCTAAGGCTGGCCTGATGTTGTCAGTCTTCAAACTTGAGGATTCCTGAAAGCTTGTACCTTTTGCAAAGAAACACAAGGAAAACATATTAATTAACTTGGGAACTGTTATGAGCACTTTACATCCTTCACCATTCATAGCAACCCTATGCCAAAAGTGTTAGCATCATTCCCTCTTATAGATGAATGAACTAAGCCACAGAGAATAGCTTTCCCAAAGCTGCACAACTAGTAAGCAGCAAGGATAAGACTGAAGTCAGGTGGTCTGATTTCAAATACAGTTGATACTACGGTCAGATTTTTCAGGGTCAAGCTTCCCGCATTTCATCACTGTGCTGCTGTGGTAGAAAGTAAACAAGAGTTGTGACCAGCCATTATCATGTTTCCCCTCTGTAACATGCTTTATGTGAAATTTAAATCAAGAAAAATAATATTCACTGTGAGCTAGACTGCAGGCAGAGGTGGGAGGGTCAACAAGAGCGCTTCAGGCTGAGCTACTTTGCTAAATGCCCCTCAGGGTGGAAGAAAGGCAAAGGACCAACAAAAAACTGGCCTCCTCTGAATCTGACATACTAGGCCAGGGCTAAGGGAAAGCTCTTGAAACAACACTCTCAACTCTACTAAATTTGAAGTCTTGTTCTCGTTTCTCACTGACAAAGTCAAGCAGAGTCTATGTTCATCTCTCCAAAACTCCATAAAAAACGATCTCAGATTTAGCCAAGGATGTGGAACAATTTACATATTTATGAAACTGCAAATTGAGATAACCATTCTGAAAAATAATGTAGCATGATCTAGTGAAGCTGAAGTTGCACCTACCCAAATGATCTAGAAATTATATTCTTAGGAATATAACCCTGGAGAAACTCTTAAACCCATACGCCAGGGCACATATAAGGATGTTCATAGCAACCCTATTCCAAATGCCAAAAGAATGAAAAATAACCCAAATGGATGTAATTAGTGAGTGGGTACAAGGGATATTTGGGGTGTGATTGAAATACACTAAAATTAGGTTGTGATAATGGTTATACAACTCCATAAATTTACTAAAATATATTGAAGTGTACAATTAAAAAGAGAATTTTTTACTATGCAAATTGTACCCAATAAAGCTGTTTTTAAAAAGCAAAAGGGTTCAGTGTGATGGCACATGCCTGTAATCCTAGCTACTCGGGAGGCTGAGGCAGAAAGATTTCAAGATCAAGGCCAGAGAGCTGGTCAAAGTGAAAAATAAAAAAGGGTTAGGGTTTAGTTCAGTGGTAGACCATTCCTGGGTTCAATTCCCAGTACTGCAAAAAAAAAGAAGAAGAAAAAGAAAAAGAGAAAAGAAAGAGAGAGAGAGAGAGAAGGATAGTATATCTATATACTAGGATATTATATAGTAGTGAAAATGAATGAACTATTGCTAATAACATAGACTTTCAAGAATATCATTTTTTTAATATTTATTTTTTAGTTGGACACAATATCTTTATTTATTTGTTTTTATGTGGCACTGAGGATTGAACCCAGGGCCTCGCATGTGCTAGGCGACCACTCTACCACTGAGCCACAACACCAGCCCTCATAGTTTATTAAAGAAGCAAGAAGCAAGCAACAAAATCACACATTGTGATTCCACTTGGAAAAAACTCAAAAACCTGCAAAGCTAAATAATATACTGATATAAACTCATGTGGAAAATTATAAAGGTAAACCAAGAAAATTATAAACACAAATTTTAGGATAGTGTTTACCTATGACAACATAGGGACACAGGGACAGTGGAGAGAAAGATTCAGGAAAGGGGCTCCAGGACTTCAAAGGTAATGTACTGTGTATTTATTAAACTAGGTATGCGTGCAGAGGTTCATCATTATTGTGTTTATGTTTATACCTAAAGAGACTTCATTGGGGTTTTTTCCTCCCTCTAATGGGTGCTGAAGAAAAGGACTAAGAGCTTGGCATTAGGGCAGCTGCCCTTAGAACACAGGAACAGGTGCCAGTTAACCTCTGGTTGCCCTAGACAAAACTTACCAGCTCTGCTAGAATGGCAGCCGTCCTTACCTGGGCACTGTCCTTGTAGGAACTGCCAGAGTCCCACGGTGCCTAGCTGCTGTAGGGTCAGTTCCTCTGCTTGCAAGGCTACAGTCAGGTCCTCACCACGTACCTCAATCCCAACAGACACTTCATTCACCTTCAGAACCAAAACTGAGACCTGTCAAAGGAAACTCCCTGAGTTCTGAGTCCCACACTTCCAACCCAGAGCCTACCCTTTACATCTAAGAAAGTGGAGCAGCTAACCGAATGAAGGACGAGGTCCTCACCACTGGGTGATACTGAACTGTTGGCCCCTGGAGAACGCTGGCCAAAACTATCTACAACAGGGCTCCCTTGAACAGCATCATCCAAGACACCTGGAAGGGATCCTGATGGAACAGATTCTGGACCAGATTCTGTGTGAGACAGACAACAAGAGAGTTCAAAAGTCAAAAAATTCTAGTTGAATACAACCTTTAAAAACAATGACAACTGTAAAAACAAAACGGTTATGACACTTATGAGATAACTAGAAATTTGAAGACTAGATAGATATTTGATTAATTTAAGAAATAATTGCTTATTTTCAAAATCTCAACAATGGTTATTTGGTCACATGTATTAAAATCTGTAAATGGAAGTAATCTATCCGTTGATGGATGACTAGATAAATAAAACGTGGCACATCCATATAATAGAAGAGTATTTAGCCTTAAAAAGGAAGAAAATTCTAAATGGGCTAAGGAACTGAACAGACACTTCACAGAAGAAGAAATACAATCAATCATCAAATATATGAAAAAATGTTCAATATCTCTAGCAATTAGAGAAATGCAAATCAAAACTATACTAAGATTTCATCTCGCTCCTGTCAGAATGGCAATTATCAAAAATACAGGCAACAAATATTAGCGAGGATGTGGGGGGAAAGGCATACTCATATATTGCTAGCGGGACAGCAAATTGGTGCAACCATTCTAGAAAGCAGTATGGAGATTCCTCAGAAAACTTGGAATGGAACCACCATTTGACCCAGTCATCCCACTCATAGGTTTTTACTCAAAGGACTTAAAATTAGCATAATACAGTAATGCAGCCACCACAATGTTTGTAGCAGCTCAATTCACAATGGCTAAACTATGGAACCAAAATAGGTGTCCATCAATAGATGAATGAATAAAGAAAATGCGGTATACATACTCAATGGACATTTTCCTCAATTTTAAAGAAGAATAAAATTATGGCATTTGCCAGTAAATGGATGGCGTTGGAGAAAATCACGCTAAGCGAAATAAGCAATCCCCAAAAACCAAAGGCTGAATGTTTTCTCTAATATGTGGATGCTAATTCACAATAAGGCAGGCGGCATTAAAGAAGAATAGCATTACCTTAGATTAGGTAGAGGGAAGTTATGGGAGGGGAGGGGAGGGGAGGGAATGTGGGGATAGGAAAGACAGTAGAATGAAACAGACATTATTACTTTATGTATATATATGTGACTACGTGACCAATATGATTCTATAACATGTACACTCGGAAAAATAAGAAATTATATCCCATCTGTGAATGATATATCAAAGTGCATAAATGCATCCTACTGACATGTATAACTAATTAAAACAAATAAAAAATTCTGACATTTACTATTGCCAACAAGAAGACTACAAAGAAGACCCTTAAGGGTATTACATTAAGTAGAATAAGTTAATCACAAAAAAGACAAACACTATATAACTAATACTAATATCAGGTATCTAAACTCCCCAGATTTATAGATAGAGAGTAGAATGGTGGGTGCCATAGGCAGGAATGAGGAATAAATGTTTAATGAGTACAGAGTTTCAGATGAGCAAGGTAAAAAGTAGTCTGGAGACAGATGATGGCGATGGTTGCCCGACAGTGAGAATGTACTCAGCACCACTGAACAGTACATTCATAAGGGGTTAAGACGGTCAACTTTATGTATATTTTGCCACAATTTTATGTGGCACTGTACCACAATATTTTCAATGCATAAATTGAAAATATTTATGGATAAAAATTATATGTTTGGGATCTGCTTCAAAATAATTTGGGATGAACCAGGAGCAATGGTGCACACCTTTTTAATCCCAACTATTAGGGAGGCTGAAGCAGGATCCCAAGTTTAAGACCAATCTCTCAACAACTTAGTGAGATCCTGTCTCAAAAAACAAAAGAGCTGGGGACATAGCACAAGTGGCACAGTGCCTCTGGGTCTAATCCCTAGTGCTGGACAAAAAATCTGATGGAGGGAAATAGGTAGTGGTATATACTAAACAAGAATGGCCATGAGTTCTTAATGCTGAAGCAAGGTAATGGCCATATGAGGGTTCAATATTTTATTCTGTCTACTTTTATACATGTTTAAATCTTTCCAAAGTTAAAAATAATTAAAACAAAGTAAACATGTGTATGCACAACCTACCTTAGGAAACAGAGCATTATCTTATTAAAACCAAAATGAGGTATCACCTCACACCTGTCAGATGGCTATTATCAAAAAGATGAAAGAGCCAGACACAGTGGTACATACCTGTAATCCCAGCAACTCAGGAGACTGAGGCAGGAGGATTCCAAGTTCAAGGCCAACCTCAGAAATTTAGCAAGACCTCCTCTCAAAATAAAACTATAAAAGGGCTAGGGATATAGCTCAGTGGTAAAGCACCCCTGGGTTCAATCATGGGTACAAAGATAAGAAACAGGTGAAAGAGTAATTAGTGGGAATGTAAATTAATACAGACATTATGGAAAACAAGATGGCGGTTCCTCAAAAAAACTAGAAATAGAGTTACCATATGATCCAGAAATACCACTTCTGGGTATATATCCAAAGGACTTGAAATCGCATGTTGAAGGTATATCTAAACTCCATGTTTACTATAGTCCCATTCACAAGAGATAGTTATGGAATCAACCTGTATGTGCCCATCAACTAATGAATGGATAAAGAAAATATGGTACATGTATACAATGGAATACTATTCTGCTTTACAAAGGAAGGAAATCCTGTCATTTGTGACAATCTGAAGAAACCTGAAGAACATCCGCCCAAATGAAATAAGCCAAGCACAGAAAGCCAAAACCCACATATTCTCACTTACATGTATAATCTGAAATAATTTAACACAAAGAATCAGAAAACAGAAGGCTGGTTACCAGGGGCTGGCTAGTAGAGGGATGAAGAGATGTTAGTCAAAGGACACAATGTTTCAGTTAGACCAGACATAATGAATATGTTAGTTAACTCGATGCAAAACTTGACACTGTGCACGTCATAGCATCACTTTGTACCCCATACATGTACAACTATAATTAGTCAATATCTGATAAAAATAAATAAATAAAGGAAGAAATAGTACATTCTCTTTAGATGCTCTCAAGGGTCTCAAGGGACTTTTTTTTGTTTTTTGGTTTTTGTTTTTTAAAGAGAGAGAAACAATTTTTTTTAATATTTATTTTTCAGTTTTCAGTGGACACAACATCTTTATTTTATTTTATGTGGTGCTGAGGATCGAACCCAGCGCCCCGCGCATGCTAGGCGAGCACGTTACCACTTGAGCCACATCCCCAGCCCTCAAGGGACATTTTAAGTCAATAAGCTAAGAGAACCAGTGTAACTTTTAGAGGAGATAGATTTAATTCCTAAAAGTTACTCATTTTCTAAAGACAAAAAGCTTCTTAAAAAAAAAAAAAAAAGCTTCTAAATACTTTCAAACAATAAACTATATAGGCACAGTGGCACATACTCATAATCGTAGTGACTTAGAGGCTGAGGCAGGAGGACTGCAAGTTTAAGGCTAGCCTAGGCAATTTAACAAGATATTGTCTCAAAATAAAAAAATAAAAAGATAAGGGGATATAGTTCAGTGGTAAAACACTCTTTGGTTCAAACCCCAGTACTGAAGGAAAAAAAAAAAAACTCACACCACTGATAACAAATACAGAACTGATCCCCGAAATAACTACATAGTTCTAAGACTAGTGATTTATCCTTTGATTTGAATCCCTTTCTGTGATAAAGGTCAAGTATTAAGTAATAACCTAGAAGATGTTGAGATAAAGCCAGAGCCACAAATCTACTAAATTTTTTCTCTCCTTTTTGTTTTGATTAAGAAAGTGTATATATTATGAAATCTCTGTTCCTCTTGAATCCCGCTGGCTTTAATACTGGCAGCAGAGAGAACCCCTTTGTATTTAGGCAACTTTGCTCCCACATACCAGACTCCAAGAGCATCACAAAGCTATCGCTGCCATCACTGTCCACTGAAATCCGGTCTTCGGGGCCACTGTTATCCAATGAGACACCATCAAATGACTGCTGAGATACTGTCCTCTTCATGGAGAAAAAGCGGAGTCGGGCAGCACCTCCACCCACTGGGGCTGCTGGGCCCTCATCTATCTTAGCCATGGGCTCCCTGTTAAGAAAAATAAAAACAAAACACATGTATGAAGATGGGAGAAAAAAAAAAGAGAGAGAGAGAAAGAGAGAATAGCGTTACATTAGATTAGGCAGAGAGAATTGATGGAAGGGGAGGGGAGGGGATGGGGGGATAGGAAGGATAGTAGAATGAAACAGACATTATTATTACTGTGTGTATATACGTGACTGCATGACCAATATGATTCTGCAACCTGTATACTCAGAAAAATTAGAAATTACATCCCATCTGATTCAAATGTATGATATGTCAAGGTCATTGTACTGTCATGTGTAACTAATTAAAACAAATTTAAAAAATACAAAAAAAATTTAAAAAAGAAAAACAAAACCCACAAATGTGGCTTTGAAGATATGTTTGTTCCCACCCCAGCAATATGCTTCCCCTTCAGCTCAAATAGGTAATGTGAAGAGAAAACTTTATAGCTGCTATAAAAAGATGAAGTTATTTTGCACCCACTGGCCCTTCTGAATTACCTTATTCCAGTACGTTTAGGTGTGTGAGCAGCTAATCAACATTAAATGTCAAAGTTATTCAGGGTCATCCCATACATAAGAGACAATATCTACCTACCAAACTGGTGCCACCTGGAGCCACCAGCATCCATTCTACATGTCCTCATTGAACAGCTTCTGTAAGCAAGGTACCACAGTACTAGGCACAAGGAAGAAGTGTAGGGTGGACAAATTGATGAATAAGACGTTCTCAAAAGAATTTATGATCTATTAGGAGAGAGACTTATGCATATAAATTTTATAGGGATTGTCATACATGACATAAAGAGAGGGACAGAAACACAAGCCTAAGGCTAGACAATATTAAAAGAGGAAAAGAAATGAGAAGGAAATCAAGAATGGCTTTGTGGGAGGAGATGGCATTTGAGGCAGTCCCTGAAGGACTGTGAAACAGAACAGGGCACTCCTCTCCTGCACAGCACAAAGGCACAGAGCCTGAGGCAAAATAAGACTGGGAAGTGTGCAGCCCAGCTGCTGGGAGGTTTTGTTGGGGAGAGCAATGGAAGATAAAGCTAGAAAGGCATGACAGTTGAAAAGAAACAGCTAAAGACCCTTTAATCCCACCCTCCCAGTTTACAGATGAACAGTCGGACCCATGGTCACAATTAAAGGTATTATTATTATTATTATTATTATTATTATTATTAGGTACCAGGGATTGAACCCAGGGGTATTCAATCACATCCCCAGCCCTTTTTACTTTTATTTTTTTACTTTGAGTCAGGGTCTCTCTAAGTTGCTGAGGCTGGCTTGGAACTTGTGATCCTCCTACCTCAGCCTCCTGAGTCACTGGAATTATAGGCATGTGCTACCATGCCCAGTTGAAAGTATTATTATGAAAAACCCCAAGCCCCTAACTTCCCTGTAAGTGCTCTTCACTTTACCACAAAAAAATTGCAGCTTAAACTAAAGATTATATACGTCTCACAGCCATTTTAGTACATTGAGATTCACAGAGACAGCACCCAGCCCAGTGAGAGCTGGACGGGCACTGGGTGATTCTGTCTCAAACTAAACTAAACACAGGCAAAGAAGATCCAAAGAGGCTGTGAGGCAAAATGTCATCATATGCATTCTTCATGAAAACATGCCAGAAGGATCACAAGAGGCAGCATCTGGACGGCCAGGCACAATGATGCACACCTGTAATCCCAGCAATTTAGGAGGCAGGAGGATCACAAGTTCAAAGCCAGCTTCAGCAACTTAGCAAGGTCCAAACCAACACAGAGAGACCCTGTCTCAAAATAAAAAAATAAAAAGGGCTGGGGACATGGCTCAATGGTCAAGCACCTCTGGGTTCAATCCCCAGGACCAAAAAAGTAGCAGCAGTGGCAGCACCTGGGCTACTTCAGTTGACTTTCAGTTGAGTTTTCTAAGAAGTGTTCAGAGAGGTAAAAGACCATGTCTGCTAAGGAGAAAGGAAAATTTGAAGACACGGCAAAGGTGGAAAAGGCCCATTGTGAAAGAGAAATGAAAGCCTACATCCCTTCTAAAGGGAGGTCTCCATCAGTCTTCTTGTTCAGCTCTATCACCTCAAAATCAAAGGAGACCATCCTGGCCTAACCATTGCCGATGTTGCAAAGAAACTGGGAGAGATGCGGAATCACACTGCTGCCGACAACAGGCAGTCTTATGAAAAGAAAGCAGCTGAGCTGAAGGAAAAACACACAAAGGACACTGCTGCCTACCAAGCTAAAGGAAAGTCTGATGCAGCAAAAAGGCAGCTGTCAAGGCTAAAAACGCTCAAGAGGATCAGGAAGGTGTAGAAGATGATGATGATAAACAAGTTGGTTCTAGGAATTACTTTTTTTTTTTTTCTTTCCTTGTCTATAAAGCGTTTAACACCAACCATACAAAACTCATTCCTTTTAAAGAAAAAAAATTGCAATGTAAGTATATAGTTAACATACTACCAAATGTGTCTTTCGGTGGCACTGTCTTGGTAATACTTTCAACAGCTGCTAACCTTGCCTGGTACAGTATGGGGGATGTACACTAGCATGGAATTGAAAGCAGGTTTTTGTTGTTACACACCACAAATTAGTTCGATATGGAGACAATATAGTTTTTCATCTTTAGTTGTCCCTGATGTAGCTTATATGAAATAATTGTTATATTAACTGAATACCACTCTATAACTGAAAAAAAATGCAGCTGTTTTGTTGACATTCTGAATGCTTCTAAGTAAGAAGAAGAGACAGAAATGTGTTAAACAGACAGGGTCAAGGACCCCCACACCAGGAGTTTAAAAAATGGAGTAGACAACTTGTAATTGTAACTGGTGACTCCATTGGGGCCTGAAGGTATGTGCCTGAATCCTGAGCCAGTCCCTGAGGCAAAGCAGCACCCTGATAATATCCTGGTGTAACTGGACTCAAAGACACACTTCTTTAAAATCTCTAGCATATGGTTTCCAAGGCCACATAAAAAAATAACTCCCCTCTAACCTTGTTATATTAAACCCCTAGACAACAGACATCCCTCAAACCCTCCTTCGGGCTTCTCCCCTACAAGAGCTCTGCTTTCTTTCTTTTTTTTTTTTTTTTTTTTGGGGGGGAGGTTATCTGGGATTCAATTCAGGGGCACCTGACCACTGAGCCACATCCCAGCCCTATTCTGTATTTTATTTAGAGACAGGTCTCACTGGGTTGCTTAGCACCTCATCTTTGCTGAGGCTGGCATTAAACTCACAACCTTCCTGCCTCAGCCTCCCAAGCCGCTGGGATCACAGGAGTACACCACTGCACCCGGCCCCAGCCCTTTTTTTATTTTTAGTTTTTTTTTTTTTAATTTTTAGTTGTAGATGGACACCATACCTTTACTTTATAAAAAGTTTTTTATGTGGTGCTGAGGATGAACCCCAGTGCCTCACACATGCTAGGCAAGCGCTCTACCACTGAGCTACTACCACGCCCCCCACTAGCCCTTTTGTGTTTTTTATTTAGAGACAGGCTCTTACTGAGTTGCTTAGGACCTCACTAAGTTGCTGAGGCTGGCTTCCAATGTGCAATCCTCCTACCTCAGCCTCCCAAGCCACTGGGATTACAGGCATTTTTTTGCCACCATACCTCACTCTGCTTTCTTTCTATTACTTTAATAAATGCTGTTACTTTGCTCTCACCCTTTGTCAATGGATCTCATTCATTGAATTCAAGAGACAAAGAACACAGATCATCCCATCTCCTAAATACAAATTTTATTTTAAAAAATTATATATTAAAGTGTTTTGAAAACTGTAAAGTGACACATGGATTTATCATAATTGACTATGCTACACTAAGAAGTTCAAATGGGACCTGGGGGTGTAGCTTGGTTGGACAACGCCTTCCTAGCATTCATCAGGCCCTGGGGTTCCTTCCATCCTCAGCACCACAAAAAAATAAAAAATTCAAAGAAAATTCAGGAAGGCATAAGGAAAATGCTTAGAGGTTTTAGAGTAAGGAAATGACAAAATCACAAAAATCACACCTGTGTTTTAGGAAGTTTAACGTGGCTTTTTCAATGTAGAAACCAACACTTTACTAAAACAGTCCAATGTGGAAACAGACAGGAAAAGCTGATAAGAGATTCTCTAGAGAAGTGTGTCCTGGTGGCAGCATCAGCATCAACAGGGAACCTCTCAGAAACACAGAATCTCAGCCCAATCTCCTACCTACTGAATGAGAAGCTCTGGGGACAGGTCTCTGCAACCTGTTCAATGAGGACTTGAGGTGATTCTGATGCACACTCAGTTTTAAAAACCACTCATTTAGGAATTACGGTCAGAACAAGACAGATTAGTTTTAAGAGGCAAAGCACTAAAATGTTCAGCTGGATGAGCAGGAGAATGCTACTATCCAAAGAAGAAAGAACTGATCTGGGGAGGGATACGAAATCAGTTTCAAACATGTGAGCAGCTACCTCTGAGAGATCCAACTGTCTAGTAGACAATTTTAAATGAAGAGCAGGAGAAAGGAAGGAATTCAGGACAGAAAAAAAAGCTTACAGCAGACGTAAGGAGATGAATAAAATAACCAAGAGAAAATATTCAAAAGCATAGACTGATACAAACCTTCTAAAGTCTGGCAAATGCATCAAGAACCTTAAAAATATTTGCAGCATTTGACCCAGTATCACTTACAGACTTTTACTCTAAAGAGAGATTTAGATACATACAAATATGCAGAGTAAGGTTCACAAAAATAAGAACACTAAACACAGCATTAGTTCTACCTGAGAAAGACTGGAAACAGACTAACAGACCCCATAGATAATGAAATGGATGAATAAATTATAATATATACATTTGATAGAACATAATAATGCAATTAAAAATCATGTATTCAAATACATAATAAATGAGAAAATATTCACAATAAAACATTAAGTGAATAAAGCAGGATGCAATGTTGTAGAAATAATATAATCCTATTGTAAAAACAGTATTTGTGTCCATATACAAGCATTCACATGGGCACACAGATTTAGATGGGTGTACAAATCAGGAAGCAAATAGACCTAAATGTAAATAGCAACTTTTTTGTGTGTGTGTGCTGGGGATTGAACCCAAGGGTACTTTACTACTGAGTTATATCCCCAGTCCTTTGTATTTTTTATTTTAAGACAGGGTCTTGGTAAATAGCTGACCATCTTGCTAACTAGTGGAGGCTGGCTTCAAACTTGAAATCCTCCCACCTCGGCCTCCTGAGTATCTAGGATTGCAAGTGTGCATCACTGCACCTGGCAAGAGCAGCTATCTCTATTTTCTCCTTTCTTCTTATCACCTACATCTTCAATACAATGAGCACAGATCACTCTTATAATTAAAAAACTAAAAATTAGGACAAAAGTGATCATAACAGCCATGATGGCGCATGCCTGTAATCCCAGCATTTTGGTAGGCGGAGGCAGGAGGATCACAAGCTCCAAGCCAGCCTCAGTAATTTAGCAAGGCCCTGAGCAACCTGGAGAGACTAAAAAGGGCTAGAGGGCTGGGGTTGTGGCTCAGTGGCAGAGTGCTTGCCTAGCATGCGTGAGGCACTGGGTTTGACGCTTAGTACCGCATACAAATAAAACAAAGGCCCATTGACAACTAAAAAAATTTAAAAAATAAAAATGAAAAAAAAAGAGCTGGGGATGTGGCTCAGTGGTTAAGTATCCCTGGGTTCAATTCCCAATACCAAAAAAAAAAAGTGTTCAGAATATGGACAACCTTGAAAGTATTTACATTTGTAGGACAAAAAGAAAAGAGCAGACAAAAAAAAAAAAAAAAGAATCCTTCAGAGAAATGAGAGTAACTGCAGTAATTTTCAATGTAGAAATCAACAATTTACTAAAACAGTCCACATGTGGAAACAAGAAAACCTGATTCCCTAGAGAAGTGGGTCCTGGTGGAAGCATCAGCATCAACAGGGAACTTCTCAGGGTTAAAAATGTTCAGGAAGAGTTGCCCGGCAATGTTAACTGCCGCAGAGAAGTCCAGGAAAGGGCAGACTGAGGAAAGGCCATGGGTTTGGACAGATAGGAAGGCACTGTCGGTTTCACCAGAGCTTTTATCACACATCTTCCTGTGATCATTTTAATTTTCCCCATCTCCTTTATACGTCTCCATTTAGAAAAGGCAGCACCTTCAGTCTTCGCCCCACCACTCACAAGTTGTATAAATCTTGAGCAAGTTTTTTTTAACCTTGCTGAGCCTCAGTTTCCTCATCTGTAAAATGGCGAGTGATATTAGTATCTTTCTTTTAGGACTGTTACAAGAATTCAGTGGATTAATATTGTATGTAGGACAATGTCTGACACACAAAATACTTCAATCTAATATTATTACAACACTCACCCCTTTAAGTTTTCCTCTCTTCTTCCTCCTTGGCAATCTATCCTAGCAGGAAGATACTCATAGGCAATCCTAAGAGACCCACGTAAGATAATTCACTACATTCACTTCGAAAAACAGTTCTAATGCCACTGATCGTCATACCATGCTCTCTAAATCACAAAGTGTCCCAACAAAGATTTCCTTTACTTCATTGTCTTTCCTAAATCCACAAGGAACCCATGGGAAAATTCATAATGCTCTCCTCTTCTAATGTCACATTTCTGTGTTTTCTCCCTATTGTATCTCTAGTACTTAACCCAGAGCCTACAACACAATAAGAGCTCAAAAAGTATTTGCTAGCTGGGCACAGTGGTGCACACCTGTAATCCCAGCAGGTGGCTGAGGGAGGAGAATTGAGAGTTCAAAGCCAGCCTCAGCAAAAGCAAGGTGCTAAGCAACTCAGTGAGACCCTGTCTCTAAATAAAATACAAAATAGGGCTGGGGATGTGACTCAGTGGTCGAGTGCCCCCAAGTTCAATCCCCAGTACCAAAAAAAAAAAAAATGTATTTGCTGCTTTCTTCTTACTCTGGCAGATGTTGGTAAGGTGTATCAGAAAGAACAAGTCCAAAGCCCCAGTTTTTCTACTAACAAGATAGAGAGAATCCATGAGCACATCCTCTATTGAGCTTTAGTTTCCTCAACTATAAATAGGGGATAAAAAGGTCTGTAGCTGGGCTGGAGTTGTGGCTCAGCGATAGAGCGTACACCTCATATGTGCAAGGTGCTGGGTTCAATCTTCAGCACCACATAAAAATAAATAAATAAAATAAAGGTATTGTGTCCAACTACAACTAAAAAAAAAAAGTCTGTAGCTATCCTACTAAGCTGATACAGGGGATCAAGTCAAACAAAAAAATCACATGAAAGACCACTGAGAAGAATATTATACAGATACCAGCTATTGTTATCATAACATATCTGTTATTAATAATTATGAATTAATGAAAGAGAAGATAATCTGATTTTAAGCAGCAATAAACAATGACTTGAAAACTGCCCATTAAATGGGCCCATGTATGCATTCTCCTGGACTATGTGGTGCTTCAGAACATAAAAGTGCACATAATAGGAAGCCTTGGGCCGAAGGGTCAGAACTAGAGGAAGAGATGGAGTGAATGAAGGAGGCAGAGAACCACTCACTTGGTTGGGGGCAGGGACAGCATCTTGTGCATGGTGGAGGTCATTCGATCTCTGCCCAGACTGAAGGCATCCTTAGTCAGGGACACAGCTTCCTTAGTGAGGTCCATGGTGGCATGTAGAGCCTCCTTGGTGGCATCCTTGGTCATGTGAATAGCACTCGACAATTCTCCTTCAAGGTTCTTCAAGGGAACAGGCTCACCCTGTCCGTTCACAGCAGTATCCCTGCCAGCTGTGGACTTCAATGCAGCTGGTGAGCTGGAGGCTTGGGCTCTGCTCAGTCTCTTGGCCTGGAGGGACTCAACTGCCTCGTGGCCTTTCCCTGACAGCTGCTGTGGAAGTGGATCTGAGTCCTGCAATTCTCCATTGCTCTGAGGCCTCTCATGAGATGCATCAAGATTGTCAATACTACTATTCTCCAGGACCTTCTCGGGGCTTGCTGGGCCCTGGTCTGAGGAGGCATCAGACTTCAGTTCCCGATCCTCTGAACGAGACAGCTCTGAATCTATAAGGCTGGTGGTGTCTGAACCTGCAGAATCAGCATCGACAGCCCCAGGGGCAGGATGCATGAGTAGAGCCACCTCAGCGCTGGGAAAGAGCACACCAATGCAAGCTGTCTGGTCCTGCAGGGGAGACCCTGTCATGGCCTCTGTATCCTTAGTCAGCTGCTCCTGAAGCTCCTGCAGCACCTCCTTCAGACGGAGCAGAGCCAAGTACTGGTAATGGTCCAGCCTCACGCGGACATGGGCTGGGGAGTGTACAAGCACATGGACATCTGCTGCATCCTCCAGCTCTGTCACAGGCCCTTTGTTGCCCACACCATCACTGCCTTCTCTCAGAATTTCCATGACTTCTGTAAGGCCTGACAAACTTTTCAAATCATGCTCAGTCTTTGACCTCTGATGGGACACAGAATCAGGGATGAGGGCTTCAGAGTGAACAGGACTGCCAAAGCTGGCTGATGGTTTCAACCTCCCCTCCGAGGCCAAAAGGAGCCTTCGAGCCTGGGCCTGCTGCCAGCGGAGAGGTAGACAGGCCCAAACAGACAAGGGGAAGGGGGCCACAAAATTCAACGTATGGCCTTTGAAGTTCTCTGTTCCCTCAAAGTCCAAGGAGATCTGGGTGAAGTGGATGGACCAGAGATCCTGGGAAGCCTTAGGCCTCTGGGGAGGGAGGGTACTAGGCTGAGGAAGGCGGGAATCCATCTGGAAGGCATGATGCAAAAACAGCATGTGCAGAAGGCTAAAGCCACCCGGAACCTTGGGAAAGCGATCATAATTAGAATGGAAGAACTCGGCAGCAGCAAAACCCCGGAAGAGAGTCTGGAGATCTGGACAGCTACATTGTGGGGCATATCGTGTATTGGTGGCAATCATCCCTGATGAAGAGAAGACAAGGGCCTGGGGACGATGCAATTTTGCCTGCTCTCTCTTCTCCAGAGGGAAGCTCACCTTCAGAGAAAAAACACAATTCAGAATGACTCTCTGAGTATCTCAACAACCCACCACTAATACACATGCCAAGGATCATTTGGGCCAGGAAACTGTTTTTCTTACTTCCATGAGGAGAAGAACTATGGATAACAGCCAAGAGAAAAATGCAATTGTGGTTACCACAGGGGACAAAATTCCTACTCTCTCCCTACCTTTAACCGGAAGGCATCCAGTCGGATGTCCAGATGTTCATCTTTCTGCCTTGAATCTTCCAGTTTGTAAATAGCTTTGAATTGCTCCAAGCTATGGTATAAATCTAGGCAAAAGAGGTTTCCCCAGAGCAAGCTGACAGGATCCACAGTAAATGCCAAATCATTTAACTGAATGTAGAGGTTGGGACAGGGAACTGGAAAGCAGAGAGGAAAAGAATCATCATGTATGAAGTGGCAGCTAGACTCTTACTTACTAGCTAATGTTTGCTTTATAATCAAGACAGCAAAGATACACATTATGCAGGGCAGATTTTAACAAAGGTATACAAAATTAACTCAAATACCTAAACTCTTAATAACAAATGAGGATACACATAGTGGCCCTGAGTCTGAAAAAGGTGAAGAGCATGAGCTAGACAAAAGAAATGGCTGGTCCCGATGCTCACCTGGAAGCTCCTGATTATCTGGGAAATAATACTCTGTAAACTCAACATGAATGGCAGAGACCTGAGTGGGTAAGCTGTGGAGTTTGCGACTGCAGGAAAGGAGTGTAGATGGCTTCTTACTTGGCTGTCCAGCTGTAGAAACCTAAGCAATCACAACTTACTGTTAGCATCTGTAGCAGTCCCCAGAATAGAAGTCAATTCCTCAACTATCCTGCCTAAGCCTGGCACAAACATATTCCAGGCACTCTCTCCGCCTTCCACTAGCCCTAAGGTAGTTTTTTCAGCAGGTGGTTGAGTAGAGCACTCCAAGGAAAGCTGGGACAAGTCCTTTTCTCAGTAGCTATGCTCAAAAAGACCCCACTGTCAGTCTACCCAGAATAAGGCAAATGGTCCCTGGATTCTACAACTTTGGTCACACTGTTCCAGTTGCCTTCCAAATGAACTTTCCAGCCCTTTCCAAACATGTTTCCCCACTTCCTCACCTGATGGATGTCCAGGTCATCCACTCGTACAACCATGCAGCTAGAGCGTAAGCGATTCCAGGCCGGAGGCCGAAAAGCAGCCTGACGTCCCCCAGAGGGACACTTCTCAAGAAGGTTCTTTCGAGGACTAGAGAGAGAATCTAAATAAAAATAAGAAAATGATATACTGTCAACTCTCATTATTAATGGAACTAGAAAAGTAAGCCGGGCATGGTGGTGCATGACTGGTCCCAGGGACTCTGAAGGCTGAGGTCCTGAGCAAAATAAAAAAAAAAAAGAGCACAAACTGGATGGAACTCAAAATGTTTTCCTGCAGACCAAGGTAACAGTGTTGTTTTTGTTTTTGCGGTTCTGGGGATTGAACCTAGGGCTGCTCTATCACTGAGCTACAGTCTCAGTCCTTTTTAGTTTTGTTTTAAGACAGGGTCTCAGTGTGCCCAGGCTGGTCTCAAACTTACAATCTTCCTGCCTCAGCCTCCCAAGTAGCTGGGATTACAGGCCTGTGCTACTATACCTGGGGACAACAGCTTTCTGAATAGAGATGATGAGAACTTCTCTTTAACAGTACAGCTATCCCTGAGGACAAAGAAAGTCACTAATGTCACTCCGCGGGACACAGTTGGTTTAACTAGCTACTCCACTGCTCTATCTGCACTGGTTATTCCAAGGTGAATGGTTAAGAGGCTAAGAACTGGAGTCTTCCAGTTTTTTACCTGCTTTCCTCCGGAAAGGGGAGTCTACCCCCAGGTGCCAAGGTGGTTTCAGACCGGTCTCTTCATGCCACTTCTCCATTTTACTCTGAAATTCTATCACAAGCTTCTGAGCCCAATGTCCTCGGGTCTCCATGGCCTCACAGTGCCGTACCCAATGTTTGCAGCTATCACCTGTACAACAAAAAAAGCAGAAAGATTTTAGCCCAAGACCATGATCCAATGTTTCCGTTTTCCCTTCCTGTCAGAAAAATCACAGTGTAGAATCTGACCCCTCATTCCCAATCTAGAACTCTGAAATAAGGAAATATTATCCAGTGAGAGCTCCCAAGTTCATCTGGACTCCATATGTGATTTTTCCTAAGGATCCTTAAGGGCAGTAGCTGACTGCTGCCATCCTTAACTATGGATTACTAGAGAGGATCTAACTCTAGTGGAGATCTAGGGCTGAGGGGAGAATCAAAAGCAACATCTCAGGCACTGCTCCACCCCCAACTTCCTCTCCTCCATCACAAGAGCAGATCATCCAAGTTTCCAAAAGATGCCCTGACACCTCTGAGTATGTGCTGTAATCCCTGGAACCCTCCTGCTGGGCAGTCAGGAATGAAACCAGGAATCTTCCCTCAATATTTTGGGCCATGCTAGAATTGACCCCATTCAGATTTCTCCTAACCTGCCCAGTGGAAGGGGTAGTAGTCAAATGCCATCTTGCGGAAGGTAAGCTGCATGGCACCACCCATGAGTCTATTTGCAGAGATACCTATGAAAGAAAAATACAGGTGAATAGCACTGGAAGGAACAAAGAAGCCTAACTACCACCTGAAGCACTTAGAAGTCCTCTGGAGCCACCTCCAAATCCCAGCTGGGAACACAGTGCAGCTGAAAGGACATGATGCCAGGTGACTTGCAAGCCTGCAGCCTTCTTCTGTTAAGCTGCAATAGCCCATGGACATGCTCTAGAAGATCCAAAAAAAAAAAATAAAGTATATTCCATTGTCTCTGTAACTGGCTGCCAGATTTCCAGAAAAGCCAAAGAAAATAAAAAATTGATTCAGGAATTCTAATACTAGGTTTCCCACAGACCCACTCTACAACCTGGACTGACTGGTTCCCCCAACCCTAAAAACATTAGTCTTACTGTCCTTCAACACAACATCTGGAAAAGTATAACCAGATCCTCCCTGCTCCCCTCCTCTGCTCCCCACACACAAAAATACCCATATTATTTCTTTTCATATCCCGGTCTCATAGCTAAAGCTATGATATTAGACAATCGCTATATGCTGTACATACAAAATACCATGGAACACTGAAACATGGAACATTATAAGATAAAAATATATTATTTTGTAGGTAAACTGGAATTTCTATCAGCAAGTCAAAAATTACATTATGTTTACCTTAGAATTTATGTTAAATTCTTACTAAATGAATGAACTTCCCATGTTTCTACCTTATCTAATTAGACTAAAAAACTGTAAAAGTAGAAATTATTTCTTCCACACATTATGTGGTCCACCCTTTTGTGCACTTCCACCCTGTACTCTACGATTGTATCTAGTCTTGTAACTAATAGATGCTACTTGTAACTAGTAGACGATAAGAGGGAAGAAAACAACACAGAAATGAGTAAAAGGAATCACCATGCAATCTTTAGGAATAAGCCAGGATAGCTTCAACAAGTAGGTCATTTCCTCCAATCTAGATTTTGCCATCCCAAATTCTGGACTAATCACCCTCCTACCAGGTAAAACACCTACACCAGAATTTCTGTTTCTCAACTTTTTTTTTTTTTTTTTCATAATGACCTCCCCTAGATTTTTGTTTTGTTTTTGTTTTTGTTTGTTTGTTTGGTTGGTTGGTTGGTGCTGGCAATTGAACTAGGGATGCTTTCCCATTGAGTTACATCCCCGGCCCTTTTTACTTTTTGAGACAGGGTCTCACTAAGTTGCTTAGGGCCTAAGTTGCTGAGGCTGGCCTTGAACTAGTTAACCTCCTGTCTCAGCCTCCCAGGTTGTTGGGATTATGGGCATATACCACCACACTTGGCCTAAGGAGACTTTTTAGACATTTTTTTCCGAATTGTCCCCCACCATGAAATTTTAATTCCATAGGTATACTATACACATGTATAATTCTCAAAGTTAAAATCACAAAGTTAAAATCACACTTATAATATATATGTGTGTGTATATATGTATATACTTCAGACATATTAAAAAATACAAAACATTTTCTTTTTCAGTCCAGGGTAAAGAAACAGAATAACTGTTTTAAGCTAAATTAAATATTTTAAATATATTAATGTTCAACTTAAATTTGTAATTGTGCTGATAAAATATGATTATTTACTTATATAAACTGTAATGTAACAAATTAGCTATGCAAATTAGCAATATATAAACACATAATAGCAATATAATAAAACTTTGAATTATTAAAAATTATTTCAGCAAAAGTAAAAATTTTAATTTCTTAAAATTATCTTTAGTGGTTGGGGTTGTAGCTCAGTGGCAGAGCACTTGCTTAGCATATGTGAGGCACTGGATTCAATTCTCAGCACTGCATATAAATAAATAAAATAAAGGTCCATCAACAACTAAAAAAATTTTCTTTAATGTTAAAAAAATTATCTCTAGTGAACTCAATTTTTTGTTTGATACAAGAAAAAACTTTTAAATTAGCCACCAGAGATTCATTCAGATATTGTCAACATTTTTCCTTTGTAGCACTTGACTAAATTAATAAGAGGCTAATTTTTGTAGAATTAAATAATAAAACAAACTGTTCCATTTAATATTTTCATTTAATTCTCAAAGTTAAAATCACAAAGTGAGGGTCACAAATAAATAATACTAGTAAGTAGCCAATGGCAGCCAACAGGTACCTGTAGGCATCTCTTGCCGTATGACTTTGAGATGGAACAGTGGATTAAAACAAAGTCCACTGATCGCAGCCATCTACTTGCCACAGTTTGTAGTACTGATCTTCCATTCTGTATACCATTCACAAACTCAAAATCAATGCTGCTCATGAAAACCCAATGAGAGAAATACTAAGGAATAAAATTGTGTCAGGTAGGGTTAAGTTTTGGAAGACCACAAACCATTGTTGTTTCTAAGATTTCCCTACTTCCCAAACCCAATTTTCAATGTCCATAATAGGCAAATATCAAGACAAAAAGTAGATTAGTGGTGTTTAGGGCTGCAATTGTTCTGAAATTGATTATAGTGATGGTTGTACAATCCTATGAATAATATTAGAAATAATATTAGAAAACTAAAGTTTGTTGTATAATCTAAGTGGATGAATTTATGGTATGTGAATTATATCTCTTTTTACCTGGAGGTGATCATGATCTCAACTAAAAATACCTGACCTAGGTTACTACAGGAACAGGGTTCAAACCCCAAGCTCCCTTTGTTGGGCTATCTAGAACTAAAGGGACAAAAGCTACATGGACTGAGTGTATTGGAATAGGAACTAGAATTAAAATCAAATATAATTAATAATTACCATCATACCTAATATGTGAACACATAAATCATTCATAAGACATAATGATAAAAAATTCTCCAGTGAGCTGATAGGAAGAAGAAATAGCCAGGCCTTAAGAAAGAGAAACAGCATGGGCTTTGGCAATTTATTATGGCTGTCTGTCTGTCTGTGCCTCCGTGTGTGTGGGTGCATGTATTAAGTTGAGAGTGTAACTCCAACTAGAAAGCTTCCCTAGCATGAATGAGTCACTGGATTCTATCCCCAGTAAAGCGGGGGTAGGGTGGAGGGGCCTTTTGGTTTACAGGCTTTATCCTGAGGAAAAACAGTTTAGGGGAAGGAAAAAAAAAAAAAAAAGCAGGTGATTTTCCCTCTTTTCCTAATCCACTGCCAACCTGTAAAGCTGCTCCACTTTCATTTTAAGACATAGTGTGGGCAAGCTGCTCCTCCGGGGTCCCCTCTTGCCCTGAGGGAGCACTCTCTTTCCTTCTCACTTCAAACAGGAAGACTGGCACTGGCAGATGGCTGGGATCTGCTACAGCAGCAGAGGGTGCTGTAGCAGAGGGTGGAAATCCTATTTCATCTTTTGGGGACTCATCTGGGATCCACCAGAAGGCATGATCTCTGTCCTATGTACACCTTGTCCTCTACACCCACCAAATGTCACCGTGGACCTCTGGAATGCCATGATATACAAAATGCCCAGACTACTAATGGTCATATAGATGGAATCCAAAACAAAATTCCCATCTACTGGGTTCCCTTAGATAGGCCTCTTTAGAAGGACCTAACTGCCATTCCCTTTCAATACCTCTTTTCGGTCTAAGGTAGCCAGAGTAGTCATTATCCCTTGCCCCTAATGGCAATTGGGGGCATTTCTTAGGGGGAAATAAATGAAATAAAATAGATAACAAAACAAGTTAAGGAAACAAGTTAAAGAAGCTCTCTAATGGCTTCTCTAAATGTAAAGACCATTCCATGAGATTAACCTGTAGAAATGTCCCAAACATTCCAGCCAATATCTTTGTCCCAGAGTGGCAAGGAAGGGGAGGTGGGCCAGATTTGAGTGAAGTCTACAGACTTAAGGGCTAACCAATAGCCTTGGCACTTTTCCAATTCCTGTTAAGCATAGATTTTGACCAATAGCCTTGGTACTTTTCCAAGACTTGATTAGCACAGATATTGACAAATTCCCCTACCCCTTGGCTACATAAGCCATAGACTAGTTCATGTAAGTGGAAACCTGTGCTGGGTCTCCTCTTTACCTGAGGGAGCTCTGTCTCTTTTTTTCTCACTTCACTAAGTGCTACTCTTTTACACTCAAAAAAAAAAAAAAAAAGGGACAGAAAGAAAAAGAAACAGTGCTAGGGCTGGGGATGTAGCTCAGATGCAGAGGCAGAGTACTTTCTTACCATGTGCAAAGCCCTGGGTTCAAGTCTCAGCACCACACACACACAAAAAAAAAAGATAAGAAAAAGGAAGGGCTGGGGTTGTGGCTCGGTGGTAGAGTGTTCATCTAGCACATGGAAGGCCCTGGGTTCAATCCTCAGCACCACATAAAAATAAATAAAATAAAGGTATTGTATGGGCTGGGATTGTGGCTCAGTGGTAGAGCACTTGCCTAGCATGCATGAGGCACTGGGTTCAATCCTCAGCATCACATGAAAACAAAATAATATGTCCACCTAAAACTAAATATACATAAATAAATAAATATTTTAAAATAAATAAATAAATAAAGGTATTGTGTCCAACTACTTCTAAAAAATAAATATTTTTTTAAAAGAAAAAGGAAGAGTGCTACGCCACTTCAAGTCAAATTGACCCCACTGACCCAACCAGTTTTCCATCATTTCACCTCTAATAACAAGGGATAGATGAATTTGTTAGTCAGCAGTGCCAGCACCCAGCTATCAGCTCCATTAGGAAAAAGGCAGTAGGTATTGCCTTCAATAGTTTCTACAGCAGCAATGTCCTAAGAACTTTCTATGACAATGGACATGTTCTATGGTTTATAGAGTATATCAAGCACTTGAAATGTAGTTAGTGTGAATGAAGAAAATTTTATTTTAATTAAAATTAAAACAAGTTCTTTTCTTAAAATATTTATTTTTTAGTTGTAGGTGGACACAATAGCTTTATTTCATTTTTATGTGGTGCTGAGATCGAACCCAGTGCATCATACATGCTAGGTGAGCGCTCTACCACTGAGCCACAACCCCAGCCCCTAAAACAAGTTCTTCATTTAATTAATTTTATGTGGCTGCATGTGGCTAGTGACTACTGCATTACAGAACAACTCCAGAGAATATGAAAGTCCTTTTTAAATATTTTTTTTTCAGTTGTAGTTGGATACAATACCTTTATTTATTTATTTTCATAAATAAATATGGTGCTGAGAATCGAACCCAGGGCCTCGCACGTGCTAGATGAGTGCTCTAACACTGAGCATCTCCCCAGCTAAAAAAGGACTACCCTATTTAAAGTCCTTTTTTTAACTACTGAGTTTTCCCTTCCACTTTCTCCCCAAATCCAAGGAAAGAGTCAAAGTTACAAAAACTCTCCCTACTCTCATCCATGTTATCTAAAAGCATCTCATCCAGAACTTCCTTAAATTCCCCCAAATGTATTAATTTAGTTTACTAAGTAAGTGGTAAGGCTACAGTTATCCACATGGTAGGATTATAGGACCCTGGCACTTAAAAGAGGACAATGCTATACACCCCTTATTATCAAGCAATACAATTAAACTCTCAATAATGTACTCTTTCTTCTTTTGTTTGGGGTTGGATACCAGAGATTGAATTCAGGAGCACTCGACCACTGAGCCATATCCCCATATTTATAGACAGGATCTCACTGAATTGCTTAGTACCTCATTTTTGTTGAAGCTGGCTTTGAATTCATGATCCTCTTTCCTCAGTGTCCTGAGCTGCTAGGATTATAGGCATGCACCACCATGCCAGGCTCAATAATGTACTTTTATTTTTTTTGGCACTGGAGATTAAATCCAGGGTGCTTAACCACTGAGCCACATCCCCAGCCCTTTTTTTATATTCTACTTAGAGACAGGGTCTCACTGAGTTGCTAAGTACCTCACTAATCTACTGAGGCTGGCTTTAAACTCGAAATCCTCCTGCCTCAGCCTCTCAATTTCTGGGATTACAGGCATGTGCCACCATGCCTGGCTTCAATAATGTACTCTTAATTAAGATTTCTGAAAGAATTAAAAATAAACAAAAAACTGGGCTGGGGCTGTAGCTCAGTGGCAGAGTTCTTGCCTAGCATGTGTGAGGCACTGGGTTCCATCCTCAGCACCACTTAAAAAAAAAAAAAAAACAAATAAAATAAAGGCATCCTGTCTATCTACAACTACAAAAAATTCAAAAGGAAATAATCACACAAAATGATAATCGTTTTAGTAACAAACTTCCAAAATGAGTGGGTTACAAATTATTTCCTGTGGTGCCCAAAGTGATCCTTTTTTTTTAAATATAATATGTACTCTTTTTTTTTTTAAAGAGAGAGAGAGAATTTTTTTTTAATATTTATTTTCCAGTTTTCGGCAGACACAACATCTTTATTTGTATGTGGTGCTGAGGATCGAATCCAGGCTGCATGCATGCCAGGCGAGCGTGCTACCTCTTGAGCCACATCCCCAACCCCCCAAAGTGATCTTTATGCTGTCATTGTTCCTCTCTTCCCTCTCAAAATGGGCGTAGAGGATTGAAATTATTTCAAGATCAAGGAATAACCAAAGGAGGCAGTACTGCTTGGCAATCCCAGAAAGAAAAAAAATAGGTAGGTCTCCCATGAAAAGTGAGTCTAGGTCCCATTGTGAAGCAGATAGAGCCTTCAGAGAAAAGAAGGCAGCAAGAGTCTGCCACACTTAAGCATCAAAAACCAAGAACCAGCAGCACAGGGGGGAACACAGGCAGGGTTGAAGAAACAAGTAGCAAACTGATTTCGCCAAGGCTAATAAATGTCAATTACTTTTTTCATTATGAATAAATATATTCTGAATAAATATATGTGCATGTGATACCAATTGATCTAAATATGACAAGAACAGAGCATAACCTCCCTTCTTGGGAAGAGCACACTTCCATATGATATATATTCAAATTGACTAAAGAATCTCAAAATTTTGGGGCTTGGAGTATATAGTTCAGTAGTAAAACATATGCTTGGTATATGCAAGGCCCTGGGTTTGATTCTCAGCTCCACAAAAAAAAAAAAAAAAAAAAAGAAAGAAAAAGAAAAAAAAATCTGAAAACTCTAAGGTTTTCTATTATTGAATTTACTTTTGTAACCTCTGACACCAGTGGTTTTCAACCTCTGGCAAGCCATCAGCCTTGCCCAAGGGATTCTGGGGAGAAAAAAAAAAGTTCACACTGCTGAACTCTACCCTTGAATATTCTAATTTAGTGGGGTGTGGGGCAAATCCCAACATCTGTATTTTGATACCTATGACAGGTGGCTCACTGTACCTTAAAGGCTGAAGAGCAATGCCTCATACTAACAAAGCCATGATTAGCCATGCCTGTGATTAAGGAAGCTGACCAAAGGGCTCCACAAGGTCTTTAAAAACAGCCTCATCCCAGGTTGTGTCCAGAGATAGACAGTGATGTGGACCACCCAGGCCTCATGAGTACCTGGATCCCGGGACTGGCTATCATCACAAATGTGCAGGTCCAGGCGGGAGATGAGCAGATGATAGGAGGACTCTTTCACATCAAATTTCTCAAAGTACTGGCTGAGCCGGCTGCTGCTGCTGCTGCTGTTTCCCTGGCTGCCACCAAACGCCTGGGCCCAGGACTGCTGGGCACTGGGAGGAGGTGGAGTGATCTATATGTGACAGAAAAAAAACAAAAAAAATCAAGAATCTAGACCCTGAAAGGCTCCTTTGTATGTTTTCTTTAATTAGCCCTGCCCAAATAAATCCATAGTTTAGGAAGATGCCCCTTCCCTCTTCATTGGCTAGCACTGTAAAATCGACACACCAATGGAGAGGACAAATGAAATATCAGGTGCAAGCCAGCCTATGAGCATCTATCAGTAAATGATAAATCCCCCAAATAAGCCAATAAAGTCTCAATTCCACCTACACTGATACAAACAGATCTGGCATGCCATCTCCCCAGCCCCACCAAGGGTGCCCATTTGGTCTCCAACCTGGACAGGTTCAGGGGCCAGGCTCTTTCTTTGCTGGGCCGACTTCTCCATGGCCTCACTCAGAGATTCGGCATACTTCATCATGGCCTTGAGCTGTGAGTCCGTGAGCACCCAGAGCAGGTCATCCAACAGGAACATCAGCTTGGAGGCTATCACATTACAATCTTTGGTCTGAGAGGGTCACAGAGAACACGGGTTTACCACTTTGTATCATTCTATCTCCTCAAAGTGACTGGCGTCTGATCAGTTTTAAAGAGGTGCCTTTCACTCTCCAGGATAAAAGAATAAAGCACTTTGAAAAGACTATTTCTTAAAAAACTACTTCAGTTTGCTGATTAACCATCAACTGTGAAGTGCCTTGTCAGTGTGCCCATATATAAACATTGTAGTTTTCTTTCTTTTTTTTTGGGGGGGGGAGGCCAGGGGGAGTTACCAGGGATTGAACCCAGGGGTGCTTAACCATTGAGCCACATCCCCAGCCCTTTTATTAGAGACAGGGTCTCACTGAGTTCCTTTGTGCCTCACTAAGTTGCTGAGGCTGGCTTCAAACTCGCAATCCTCCTGCTTCAGCCTACTGAGCCTCTGGGATTATAGGCATGCACTACTGCACCCAGCAACAATGTAGTTTTCAAAATTAAGAAAATAAAGAGATGGAAACTTTCTCTCACTGGTAAGTATTGTGCCATCCCTGTTCAGCTGTCATTCCAAGGATCAATGACATTCCAAACAATATGGGAATACCAACTCCCAGGTTGTCCAGGACACTAAAAGACAAAAGTATTCATGAGGGCAGAGAACACACTTACTCTTCTCTTGAGGGCTATTTGGATCCGGCCTTGGTTGGTAATAAGTCTCAGTGGGGTGGTGATTGGGTCTTGATCTCCATTATCTGTAGCATCTGCCTCAATTCGAAGTGTCTGCCAAGTTATTTCCTTAAATGTTAAAACCTGAGAGTATAGAGAAAAAAAAATAATCCTTCTGTAGAAGAAATTAACCAAGACAGGATTCTAAGGGGAAAAGACTGGCAAGACAGAGACTCCCACCATTCTCAGTTGGGACTCTAACAGAAAGCAGTGAGTCGAAGGCCCTACCTGAGGGAAGAAGGAGTAATAACACGGTACAGAAAGGGTTCTGGGGTTCCCAGGGATGGGGAACATTTGAGGAAGTCTCCAAAACAGAAATAATACCATCTAACAATTTATCCAACTTTGAGTACACCCCTTTCTCTCCCCTCAAAATGCTAGGGCTGTCACCTCTCCTCGGCGGGGATCAGTGATGCGAGTCAGACGAAGGTCACTCTGTTGCCAGTTAGGGTTGACACTGTAACCCTGGAGCTGCCATAATTCAAAAGAAGCATGGAAGGCCTTGGAGTGAATCTTGATGGTGATGGAATTGACGATGATGAACATCCCCTCCACTACCTTTTCAGCAAAGCCATACTCACTACAACAAATGAGACAGACCAATGATGAGAATCATGGGAGTTTGGGGGGTATTTTTGTTGTTGTTGTTGTTTTTTAATATTTATTTTTTAGTTTTAGGTGGACACAATGTCTTTATTTATTTATTTATTTTTTAATGTGGTTTGAGGATCAAACCCAGCACCCTGCGCATGCCAGGCAAGCGCGCTACCGCTTGAGCCACATCCCCAGCCCCTGTTGTTGTTTTTTTTTAAGTTGTAGACAGACTAGATACCTTTATTTTATTTATTTATTTTTATGTGGTGCTGAGGATCGAATCCAGGACCTCGCATATGCCAGGCAAGTGCTCTACCACTGAGCCACAACCCCAGCCACCCATAGGAGATTTGATGCAATCTTTACTCTGGAACACATTAGATCAAGCTATTGGGTGCTAGAAGTATGAGTGCTTAGTTTTCTTTTCTTGTTGCTTTTATGATTTCTAAATTTTTATTGTGATGATAAATGGTGATAACAAATTATCTTTTTCTTTGTTGTTTTTGTGGTGCTGGGGATTGAACCCAGGGCCTTGTGCATGCTAGGCAAGAACGTTACCATTGCGCTACATCCTAGCCAAAGTACAAAGAATTCTTTTTAATGGTATTTTTTCTCCTGTACTGGGATTTAAACCCAGGGGGCTCTCTACCACTGAGTTATATTTCCAGCCTTTTTTTCATTTTTATATCAAAACAGGGTCTTATTCAAGGTCCAGGATGGCCTTGAATCCTCCTGCCTCAGCTTGAGATTACAGGCATGCACCACTGCACCCAACTTTTAATGGGATTTTTTTTTTAAACAATAGAATTTTAAAAAAGAAAATAACCAATTAAGATTGCCTGGAAGCAATCTTCCTCCTTTTAGAATAAATTGATAAATCTATATATAGTTCACAAACTACCTGAGTAAACATTTAGATATTATCTGTGCAGAAAGAAGAACGTTAGATTTCTACAAAATCCTCAAAGACAAAGAATACTCTGCAAAGGAAGTGGAAAGAAATACAGCAAGTGATTTAATACTGTGAATCCACTCAAGGACAGTTTCACCTTTGCCAGTCTAATACTTCCCAAAGAGCGGTGAAAAGCCAGCAATGAGCAATGGCCAAGAAAGAGGAACAAAAAATATCTTTTTTTTCCCTTTGGTACCAGGGATTGAACCCTGGGGGGTTTAGCCACTGAGCCACATCCCCAGCCCCTTTTTAACTTTGTTTTTTGTTTTAGAGACAGGGTCTCACTAAGTTGCAGAGGCTGGCTTTGAACTTGCAATCCTCCAGTCTCAGTCTCCCAAGCCACTGTGATTATAGGTGTGTATCACCACACCTGGCATAAACAACATCTTAAAAGTCCCTCTGAATACAGAAACACAGTCATTCTTAAAATGTAGGTGAAATCACCTCTCATTACAAAAACCAAAAAGGATTCAAACTAAAAATTCATACTAAAAATTTTTATATATTTGCAATTTGTTCACAAAGAACTAATAAAAAGACCAAGAGCCCAGCCAGGCATGTGGTGCACCCCTGTATTCCCAGCGACTTGAGAGACTAAGGCAGGAGGATCACAAATTCAAGGCCAGCTAGGGCAATTTAGTAAGACCCTGTGACCCTGTCTCAAAATGAAAAAGGGCTGGGGATATAGTTCAGTGGTAACGTGCCTTGGGTCAATTCAAGTACCAAAAAAAAAAAAGAAGAAGAAGACTAAAGGAAAAACAGATGAGCCAAGAACCCAACAAAAACGGAATAAAGTATGGGAAGTTCAAAGAAAAATAAATGCAAATAGCTATTAAACATAAAATGATGCTGGACCCTACTCATAAATCAAAACTACATTGAGAATCACTTGATTTACGACAAAGGTGACAGTACAATGGGGAAAAGAAATCTTTTCAGTAAACGGTCCGTGGTCAGTTTGGGATATTCATAAAGAGAAAAAATAATATTGACCCCTATGCTACATCAAATAAAAAAATCAGTTTCAAGCCTCTACCCTCTTCCTCTCTTCCCTCTTCCTCTTCTTTCTCTCCACTCTCTGCTCTCTTTCTCCCCCTCTCTGCCCTCCTCCTCTCTTCTCTCTGCTCTCTGCCTCTCCTTTTCTTCCTCTTCAGGCAGCCCCCCAATAAAATCTCTTGGTTGAAAAAAAAAAATCAGTTTCAAGATAGATTGGAGCCAAAGCAATCCTTACTAAGAAGAGTGAAGCAGGAGACATCACAATAGCAGACTTTATACTACAGAGCTATAGTAACAAAACTGGCATGGTGTTGGCACCAAAATAGATCAATGGTAGGTAGACCAATGGTTTAGAATAGAGGACACAGGACCAGGCACAGTGGCGCATGGCTGTAATCCAAGTCGCTCAGGAGGCTGAGGCAGGAAGATCAGTAGTTCAAACCCAGCCTCAGCAATGGCAAGGCAGTAGGCAACTCAGTGAGACCCTGTCTCTAAATAAAATACAAAATAGGGCTGGGGATATGGCTCAGTGGTCGATTGACCCTGAGTTCAATTCCCAGTACCCCCCCACCCCCACCCCCCAAAAAAAAGAATAGAGTACACAGAGACTAACCCACATAAATACAGTTATCTCATACCAGACAAAGGTGCCAAAACATACACTGGAGAAAATGGTGCTGAGAGAACTGGAAATCTATATGCAGCAAAATGAAATTAAACCTCTATCTCTCACCCTCTCTCAAGGACCTAGGAATTAGACCAGAGACTCTGCACCTAATAAAAGAAAAAGCAGGTCCAAATTTTCACTGTGTCAGATTAGGCCCCAACTTCTTTAACAATACTCCTAAAGTACAAGAAATAAAATCCTAAATCAATAAATGGGCTGGATTCAAACTGAAAAGCTTCTCTCAGCAAAAGAAACAATCAGTGAGGTAAACAGAGAACCTACAAAATAGGAGCAAATTTTTACTATATACACATCAGATAAAGCAAGGATATATAAAGAATTCAAAAAACTTCACACACACACACACACACACACACAAAACAAATAACCCAATCAATAAATGGGCTAAGGAAATGAGCAGACACTTCACAGAAGATATACAATGAATCAACAAATATATGAAAAAATGTTCAACATCTCTAGCAATTAGAGAAATGTAAGGCAAAACTAAATCTCCAGTCAGAATGGCAATTATCAAGAATTCAAGCAACAATAAGTGCTGGCGAGGATATGGGGAAAAGGTATTCTGATTCATTGCTGGTGGGATTGCAAAATGGTGCAACCACTTTGGAAAGCAGTATAGAGACTCCTTAGAAAACTTGGAATGGAATCACTCTTTGATCCAGCTATTCCACTCCTTGGTCTACCTATACCCAAAGGACGTAAAATCAACAGAGGAATGGATAAAGACAATGTGGTACATATACACAATGAAATATTACTCAGCCTTAGAGAAGAATGATATTATGGCATTTGCAGGTAAATGAATGGAACTAGAGAACATCATGCTAAGTGAAATAAACCAAGCCCAAAAAACCCAGAGCCAAATATTTTCTCTGATAAGCAGATGCTGAGCCATAGTGGGGCAGGTGGGTATAGGGAAGAATGAAGAAACTTTGGTTTGTGTAGAGGGAAGTCAGGGGAGGTTTGGGTTGTGGGGATGGGAAGGATAGTAGAAAGAGACAGACATTATTACCCTATATACATGTATGATTACACTAGTGGAGTGACTCTGAACCGTGTACAGCCAGAGGAATGAGAAGTTGTGCTCCATTTGTGTGCTATACGTCAAAATGCATTCTACTGTAAAATTAATTAATTGATTAATTTTAAAATGAGACATTTCCAAAGAATATAATTTTTTTGGTGGCGGGGGGGTGGGGGCGGTTTACTGGCATTTCTCAGCCACCTACAAACTGACCAGTCAAAATCTCGAACTGGGGTATGTGGTTCCCTAGTCAATTCTCTTCCAAAGGGCCATGTCTTTGCTTTGTAGAATAGGCATTACATGGCATCACCTGAGCCCTCTCATTACCAACTTGTCTTACTTAACACAGGTACCCTTCCACTACACATACCCAGAGAGCCCAGGCACAGGAGCAATCCCATGATGCACTTATTTTCTCCTAGACTTGGATGTCTCATATTTGCTGGAATTTTTCCATAACAACTCCACACCTTGATAATTCTCAACAAGAATTGGTTCCAGCCCACACAACACAGTGCTTTCCTGACTTCTTACTTAGGAAATAATAGGTAATTATAAAGGAGGATTCTACAACCATGTCCATTGTTCCCTTCCTCCTTCCAGCAAGAGCACCTCAAAAATTTCATCCTTTCATGCATTTTTTTTTCATTTAAACTAAAATCATGACCCCAATCTTGTTTTAAAAAAAAACTCTTCTTTGACTTAAACCCAGAACCTCCTTCTAATGAGCATCTTTCCTTGTCCAGTATTCTAGACTTACAGCTCAACTACAGTTCTTCCCCAAAGAGGGAGATTGCATTATTTTGTCTTTGAAAGGATTCTTTGCAGTTTTTTAATGCACTAGAACTACTCTGACTCTTCTATCTGAAATCAGCTTCTCTATTATTCATTTTCTTTTTGGTGCTCATTACTTCCTAATATAAAATCACATATTTGATACCTTATTTCATACTTATCTCTTTTGTCCATATTATAAGTTTTTGATGATAGAATTTTTAAATGTCTGTATTCCTATCACATAGAATACTGGCCAAATATTGTAGCCACTCAAAAAATATTTGTGCAGTAAATATATATATTTTAAAAATCAGCATACTACAGTATGCAGCCACCTCAAGTTTATAACAGCTCAATTCACAATAGCTAAACTGTGGAACCAACCTAGATGTCCTTCAATAGTTGAATGAATAAAGAAACTATGGTATATATACACAATGGAATATTACTCAGCATTAAAAGAGAATAAATTATGGCATGTGCAGGTAAATGAATGGAGTTGGAGAATATCATGCTAAGTGAAGTAAGCCAATCCCAAAAATACAA